TTTATTTAGTCTTGCCCCACCTTCTCTAATTGCAATTGAGGGTGGAATTATCTGATTAGGTTACAAATTATTACAGTGAATGATGGCATTGTTTGTGTGATCATGATTTCTATTTTATTGATGCACTCAGACAATCCCAACCCTGTATGAGTGGCTTTCAAACTGTAAAATTAGTCTGTGACAATTTGATATACTAGTATATACTAATGCAAAATGTGGAAATTTAATTGGCTGAGCTACTTGTATGCTATCACGGATCACAAACTAATTATAATCATTGTTAAATCAGCAAACATTTGCATACATTGTATTTACAGGAAGAGTTTTTGGCCTGCATATGCCCAAATAGGTATGCTTGGTGCCGTATTTGCAAAGGTGCCTGTCGTCGCACTAACTGCAACAGTAACTGAGCAAACAAAATGTTATACATATTATTGTTGTTATTATGTTATACAAAGTTCCCTTGGAATGGTGGATTCAGAAATCATTGCAGTGAACCCCAACAGGCAGAACATTTTCTACACCTGTTCAACACGACCACACACTGGCGATGACAAAATCAAAGTGCTGCTTCTTCTGTACATAGCGGAACTACAAGTTATGAGAGAGAGGATGCTCCCTACAGTGATTCACTCCAATTTACATACTGTCATTGTGGACATTGTATATTGACAGTTTAATTGGAAAATTTTACCTCAAAACAGTATCCCTTGGTTGATGATTTTCTTAACTTGGCCTGTCTACTTGAAAATGTATTACTACTACAGTAAGGATAAATTATAGGTTGACCACTTGTTCTTGGAAAGTGAAAATTTCATTGCTTATCCCCTGTTTCGTAAGTGATGAACACATTGTATACTTCCTAATCACTGTAAACTTAGACTTTATCCATAAGACTATTATTGTTTAGGTTTCCTCAGTTACTATGTTTTTAAGTACCCATGAAATAAAAAAATCAAGTCATTTATTTAAGAAAACTCGAATTGCTCCTTGAGGCTTGAAGAGATGGATATATTTTTCTACCCTCAATGTTGGTAAAAAGCTCTCTTCATTTTGGTGGATTGATTCCGAGTCTCTCACTGATTAGTTGTCAGATGGTAAACGCAAACAGAATATCTAAATGTCTGTTTTAAGTTGCCCATATATGAGAGTTGACAATTTAATGTGTATAGTTTTATGCAGTGACAGATTTGTTTTAAAATTGGTGCCTTGCTGAGACCTGGTTTTGAAAACCCTAATTTCAACTAAGTCATTTAATTATACCTGACTGTAAAAGGAACACTTTCTAACGTTTTGCATCAGTACATAAAGCGATACTACAAACCAAAACATCTAATAAAAGATTTGTTATCTAACTGCTGTAGTCAATAAATTTATCAATCAAAAGGGAGAGTGTGACAGTTTTGCGTGCGCGCGTTGACCTGTACGGCAGACAGGTTTTCTACTAAGGTTTTCTAATTTCTGGATAATAAAATTATCTATGGAAGGCAAAACTAAACGATGCTATCTTCCGAAGGTCATAAAAACCAAAACCGTGTTATCCGCTACTAGTGAATTCACTTAGACAGTTGGCGAGACAAATTCTAAAGATTCTATGAAAGAGCAAGATATATATATGCAGGACTGAAATGTCATAATGACCGTTTAGAAGGACGTCCTAGCAGAGGATATGGCTGATTTAGCAAGAGAACGGGAACGTCACTTGACGACGGCGCGCACAGTACAAATACCCAAATACGGTCAAATTAGAACAGAATCCAGGTTATTCCGCGCGCCCTGCAGTCGTCATCTGATCATATTTGGGTATTTGTACTGCGCGCGCCGTCGTCAAGTGACGTTCCAGTTCTCTTGCTAAATCAGCCTATAGAGGGTGGTACATCTCGAGAACGTTAGCCTACATTTTTCAAGTTTGTCGATTACAATCCATCTCAGCGTTCTCATTCTTATCCAGTCTTGTTCACGTGAGTTACCACCTTGGTTGTTTCCGTTGATTCTTAAGAGTATATTTTACACATTAAAAAAAGTGACTTAATACACAATGGCTTGTCCTTTTAAAAGCACCATGTCTCGTAATTTGATGTACTTTTCCGATTTCTACTTTTTGTACATTAATACCCTAACAAGAATGACACTTCACACTCTCTGTACTGATCTAGAGTGCAGTGACACCCTTATAATAAGGGTTATAGGGAGGCGCTGAGGCCTGGACCGCAGGCGACACTGTTTGATCATAACTCGGTTGTGGCATGGCGATCCTGGTGGAGTGCACTGGAACACCAGGTTCCGGGCCGTATGGGGAATATGCTGGAGTAGGAGCATTGTAAGACACCACGGCGGGCGGAGCTACCACTGGTTGGACAGGCTGGTTCTTGGGTACCCTGCCTCTTTTACGGAGTTTGACGACTATAATTGCTACTACAATAATAGGAATTATTACTCCAATGACGATACCACCAATGGCTCCACCCGACATTCCACCCTTGTCGTCGTCATCATCATCGTGGTCGGGGTCCTTAGGAGCATCACTGCTTCCAGGTGCTCTTGCGCCTGAAGAAACAGATAAATCAATTAGTTTAAGGTAACCAATCACATCAAAGCATATGGTTCTAACAGGAGAATTCCTCTTACTAACGGATATTTCAAACCATATGTCTCGTAACATTTTACTTGTAGTTATTATCACTCGATCCATCAGTGCCTCTCCCCCATCCAGGTGTATAAATGGGTACCAGCGAACTTCATGCTGGGGGTAATCCTGCGATAGACTGGCATTCCATACGGAGTAGAGTATTGGAGTAGTCGCTTCATGCTACAGAATCCGGGATACACTCCGGTCTGATGGGCCACTTGGCTCGCATGCAGACTTTACCTTTACTTTTACCACCTACTTCCATAATAAAGGCAGCTGCACTAATTTAACTTGATCACTCGCAGTCAAATTATATATTTTGCTATGATTTACATTACGTGCTGAAGAATTTACAGTAACATTATTAGAAAAGCCCCCAATTCTCTCATAAAAGAAGGTGACCTCAAAGCCCCTGAGTGAATCATTGCGTCCAATGTTAGCAATAAGACAGAACTGCTTCTTACACAAACTGAAGAGGAAGAAATTCACTGCAACCTACCTTCCTTGCCGCCATAACAGACGTTGATATCAGCGCAGTATTTGTTGGAAAGTGGAGCGTCGTTTTTGTCTCTAACGCACCAATAGCAACCCACTACCCCGTCACATGACCCTGAATCTGTCTTCTCGTTGCATTTTGGGTCAAAGCATTTCTCTAAGCCACTTACGGAAGGATCATTAACCTGCTCGGATGGAACGACTGTCGCGGGCACAGGACAAATAGAAGTGCTGCGAACGAAGAAAAAGGTAAAAGACATCGTTTTTCGTGGAAGCCACGTTTACTTGTGTAAACTATATATGTAGAGTAGCACCTACACCAATTGGTGATTTGAAACCATTCCCGAGAGACTCAAATGTCAAAGACCGTGGTGACCATGTTGGATAACAGGAACAATTGGGGCTAATTTAAATTACCGTAAATGATCGAATTAGCGCCTTCCCTCTAAAAAGCGCCCCCTTACCTCCCCCAATTTTTGGACGAGTAAGAAGACAACAAAGAATGTATAGTTTTCGCCGTGTAGTATTAGTATTGTATTTTGGGAACACGTTTAGATTGGAAAAAAAAAATTACAAGTACTAACGGTGCCGTGATTTAAACTTTAGGATCAGCTTTTTATGTCAATACACAGCTTATGTTGTTGTTTACGCGCAGACGATGTATTAAAAAAATGATCATGTCAGGCTACGATTTGGGAAAAATTAAATAAGCGCCCCTCCCTCGATTAACC